ATAGCTCCCAGGGGGTTTAATAAACAATATCCCGATATAACGCTCTGTAATATAGCTTCCAGGGGGTTTAATACACACTATCCCGATATAACGCTATGTAATATAGCTCCCAGGGGGTTTAATAAACATCCCGATATAACGCTCTGTAATATAGCTCCCAGGGGGTTTAATACACACTATCCCGATATAACGCTATGTAATATAGCTCCCAGGGGATTTAATAAACACTACCCCGATATAACGCTCTGTAATATAGCTCCCAGGGGTTTAATAAACACTATCCCGATATAACGCGCTGTAATATAGCTCCCAGGGGTTTAATAAACACTATCCCGATATAACGCTCTGTAATATAGCTCCCAGGGTGTTTAGTAAACAATATCCCGATATAACGCTCTGTAATATAGCTCCCAGGGGTTTAATAAACACTATCCCGATATAATGCTCTGTAATATAGCTCCCAGGGGGTTTAATAAAAAATATCCCGCTATAACGCTCTGTAATATAGCTCCCAGGGGGTTTAATACACACTATCCTGATATAACGCTCTGTAATATATCTCACAGGGAATTTAATAAACACTATCCCAATATAACGCTCTGTAATATAGCTCCCAGGGGTTTAATAAACAATATCCCGATATAACGCTCTGTAATATAGCTCCCAGGGGGTTTAATAAACATATCCCGATATAACGCTCTGTAATATAGCTCCCAGGGGGTTTAATAAACACTATCCCGATATAACGCTCTGTAATATAGCTCCCAGGGGGTTTAATAAACATCCCGATGTAACGCTCTGTAATATAGATCTTTATACACACACTATCCCGATATAACACTATGTAATATAGCTCCCAGGGGATTTAATAAACACTACCCTGATATAAAGCTCTGTAATATAGCTCCCAGGGGGTTTAATAAACACTATCCCGATATAACGCGCTGTAATATAGCTCCCAGGGGTTTAATAAACACTATCCCGATATAACGCTCTGTAATATAGCTCCCAGGGGGTTTAATAAACAATATTCCGATAAAACGCTCTGTAATATAGCACACAGGGGATTTAATAAACACTATCCCGATATAACGCTCTGTAATATAGCTCACAGGGGTTTTAATAAACATCCTGATATAATGCTATGTAATATAGCTCCCAGGGGGTTTAATAAACAATATCCCTATATAACGCTCTCTAATATAGCTCCCAGGGGGTTTAATACACACTATCCCGATATAACGCTCTGTAATATAGCTCCCAGGGGGTTTAATAAACAATATCCCTATATAATGCTCTGTAATATAGCTCCCAGGGGGTTTAATAAACACTATCACAATATAACGCTCTGTAATATAGCTCCCAGGGGGTTTAATAAACAGTATCACAATATAACGCTCTGTAATATAGCTCACAGGGGATTTAATAAACACTATCCCGATATAACACACTGTAATATAGCTCACAGGGGATTTAATAAACAATATCCCGATATAACGCTCTGTAATATAGCTCCCAAGGGGTTTAATAAACACTATCACAATATAACGCTATGTATTATAGCTCGCAGGGGGTTTAATGAACAATATCCCGATACAAAGCTCTGTAATATAGCTTCCAGGGGTTTCAATAAACACTATCACGATATAACGCTCTGTAATATAGCTCCCAGGGGATTTAATAAACACTATCCCGATATAACGCGCTGTAATATAGCTCCCAGGGGGTTTAATAAACACTATCACAATATAACGCTCTGTAATATAGCTCCCAGGGGGTTTAATACACACTATCCCGATATAACGCTCTGTAATATAGCTCCCAGGGGGTTTAATACACACTATCCTGATATAATGCTCTGTAATATAGCTCACAGTTGATTTAATAAACACTATCCCGATATAACGCTCTGTAATATAGCTCCCAGGAGTTTAATAAACAATATCCCGATATAACGCTCTGTAATATAGCTCCCAGGGGATTTAATAAACACTATCCCGATATAACGCACTGTAATATAGCTCCCAGGGGGTTTAATAAACAATATCCCGATATAACGCTCTGTAATATAGCTCACAGGGGGTTTAATACACACTATCACGATATAACGCTATGTAATATAGCTCCCAGGGGGTTTAATAAACACTACCCCGATATAACGCTCTGTAATATAGCTCACAGGGGATTTAATAAACAATATCCCGATATAACGGTCTGTAATATAGCTCACAGGGGGTTTAATAAACACTATCCCAATATAACGCTCTGTAATATAGCTCACAGGGGGTTTAATAAACAATATCCGATATAACGCTCTGTAATATAGCTCCAAGGGGGTTTAATACACACTATCACAATATAACGCTCTGTAATATAGCTCCCAGGGGATTTAATAAACACTATCCCGATATAACGCTCTGTAATATAGCTTCCAGGGGGTTTAATAAACAATATCCCGATATAACGCTCTGTAATATAGCTCCCAGGGGGTTTAATACACACTATCACGATATAACGCTCTGTAATATAGCTCCCAGGGGATTTAATAAACACTACCCCGATATAACGCTCTGTAATATAGCTCACAGGGGATTTAATAAACAATATCCCGATATAACGCTCTGTAATATAGCTCACAGGGGATTGAATAAACACTATCCCGATATAACGCTCTGTAATATAGCTCACAGGGGTTTTAATAAACATCCCGATATAACGATATGTAATATAGCTCCCAGGGTGTTTAATAAACATTATCCCGATATAACGCTCTGTAATATAGCTCCCAGGGGGTTTAATACACACTATCCCGATATAATGCTCTGTAATATAGCTCCCAGGGGGTTTAATAAACAATATCCCGATATAACGCTCTGTAATATAGCTCCCAGGGGGTTTAATAAACATCCCGATATAACGCTATGTAATATAGCTCCAAGGGGTTTAATACACACTATCACAATATAACGCTCTGTAATATAGCTCCCAGGGGGTTTAATAAACACTATCACAATATAACGCTCTGTAATATAGCTCACAGGGGATTTAATAAACACTATCCCGATATAACGCTCTGTAATATAGCTCACAGAGGTTTTAATAAACATCCCGATATAACGCTATGTAATATAGCTCCCAGGGGGTTTAATAAACAATATCCCTATATAACGCTCTGCAATATAGCTCCCAGGGGGTTTAATAAACACTATCACGATATAACGCTCTGTAATATAGCTCACAGGGGATTTAATATACACTATCACTATATAACGCTATGTAATATAGCTCCCAGGGGGTTTAATAAACAATATCCCGATATAACGCTCTGTAATATAGCTCCCAAGGGGTTTAATAAACACTATCACAATATAACGCTATGTATTATAGCTCACAAGGGGTTTAATAAACAATATCCCGATACAAAGCTCTGTAATATAGCTTCCAGGGGTTTTAATAAACACTATCACGATATAACGCTCTGTAATATAGCTTCCAGGGGAATGAATAAACACTATCACAATATAACGCTATGTAATATAGCTCCCAGGGGGTTTAATAAACAATATCCCAATATAACGCTCTGAAATATAGCTCTTAGTGGGTGTAGTAAACAACATCCCGATATATCGCTCTGTAATAAAACTCCCATTTGGTTTAATAAACATCCCGATATAACGCTCTGTAATACAGCTCACAGGAGGTTTAATAAACATCACGATATAATATAGCTCATCATTACCGCCCATGAACTGAACTTGAAAAGTGATCTGTGAGCCCTCCTCCGGACATCCCCAAGCTGATCCGTTGGTATCAGACTATGTATGCCGGCTTAGTTCTGGGGGAGCATTGTGGCAAACATGTACAAAATCTGAAGGTTGCCTGACAAGAGCTGTTTTTATTCTGTGTATGTATGTATTCAGGTATTGCTGTAATTGAGATCATTCATATGCTAACAGCCAAAAGCCGCTAGCATTCATATAATAGTTTCACAAACAGTGACTTTATTCACTGTTCGTGAAACGAATAAAGTACCGAATGGGAGCCCACACACATAGGGTCGTGTGGCTCCATTAACCGATTGCAACAGTGTAGCAATCGGCGGTTACTTACTTTTCCAGGTGGCCGTCGTTCAGCTACTGACCACGCGGTGGTCGGCCATCTTGGATCCTTTGTTAGACCAGCGGTGTTTGGTCGTCGAGTGCCTGGAACCAAAATCGGCTACTCGACGGCACGAACATCGCTGGACTTCCAGGCCGTTCTGGAGCACCGGTCCTTCGGTATTTTATTCCCGTTATATTCGGTACTTTTTAAAGGAATGTATAGTAAAGTATTGTGACGAAACGCCTTTTGTCACCGGATTTTCCCCTGGCTGTTGGAGGAGCCTGATTGCCAGCCTCTTGCCTCATGACTATGGCCCTGGGTTATTTGGCCCTTCAAGTACAATATTTGGGCATATTGGATTTGTATGGTGCTGCTGTTGGCCCTTTAAAAACCATCCCTGGACATATTATGACTTTTAGGAACAATGTCCCTTTAAGACTGTGGAGCAGATTGCATTCAGGCGGTCTGCAATATTATATATGCTATTATGTGTTCGGTAAATTGGAAATGTGTAGGTTCTATGTGATAAATGTAACAGTATGTATTTTTATGTCTTTTGTTGTCCTTTGTCTGCCATGTGGCTAATGGAGTTTTGCCTCTGTCCTTGGAGATAATTGCATTACTTCTCAATTATCTCCAGGATAGAAGACTCTGAAACCAGTTTGGGCCAGATATCCATGCTGCCAGCCAGGCCCCAAAAGATACTTGTGCTAACTTCTGAACCCCTGGTCTGATTCAGGCCATTTTTTAATATGTTGTTCCCCTGAATGGATTGATTGTGAATATGTAGTTTTATGTGAATGTGATGTATAGTTTTAGAGTTATGAAAGTTGGGTAAAAAGTGTGTTTTAAAATGTATGGATAATTGGGTTACCTCTCAGGCTAAGGGGAGGAGATGTGTGGGATGTAACCATTGTGTGATTGGTTGTACTGTGTCCCACCCAGTGGGATGTCCCCTTGCATGGGGACCTGCATAAAAGAAGGTTCTGTGTGTGCCAATAAACAGATCATCTTGTACCTTCATGAAGTTTCGGCTCATGTTTGGGGGATTGGAGAAACTACACTCTGGGGATTGCTATAATCACTATACTCCCCAGGGTATAATCACTAAGCTCTGCTAAGAGCTTGTTCCTGTTCCTGCTCTCTGGAATTCGGAGAGAGGTCGACCTGCTGGAAGCTGGACCCTGGTCCTGGGTCCAGAGTGGGTGGAGACGGCGAGATCCCAACCAAGCTGCGGCGGTTCGTGGGGTCTGCAGTGGTTATGGTGTCAGGCAGAGTGCTTGGAGTCCTCAGAAAGCACTAGGAGCATCCGTCGGCGGAAGGTACCCGGTCGGGGTGCCAGCGGTTCCGTTACAAGTATGTTTCGAGCGGTGTTCGGTTATTTATGCTGGGATCTGAGCCGTACTTTCACAAAGTGTGCGCTCAGACCACAGCTATCTACCGAACGGTCATTCGGCATAATCTTATGTATAATATTAAATTATGCATTTTTATGTAAAAAGTCAGTTCTGCTGTACGGAGGGATAATCCATTTAACAGGATATTCTAGTGGGAGTATCCCTCCCGTACAGCAGTGCATGGTGGGAGAAATGTCCTGCATGTTCAGTTCCCCATGTAGTCCTCTACTGTAATACCCCTGTAAAGTCAGTAAGGAAACCCCCTGCATGGGGAATCACATAAATACTGGAGCTGTGAATAGAATCGTCAGTTGACTCCCAGAACTGTGTTTCGTCCGGTTACTGGGGGATTTGGGATATTGCCTTCTTTTCCAGCGCTTTACTTGGATTATTATCTGTACCAGCGGAGACCTTGGGATTTAATATTGAAGCTCCGCTACAGGAGTGTCTCACTGTATGACTCTGTTTTTATTGGTTTATTCACTTTGTGTCCCTGTGCCCAACAAGGTCCAGCTGGGTGTCACCCTTGTTGGGAAACTTGCATAAAAGGCCAGTGTGCCTCCATTAAAATTCTGTTCCTGCTTACCCTCAACATAGAGTCTCATCTCATGTGTGGGGGAAACGGCTGTATCTACCCTGGGGATTGCTATATCACTATACTCCCCAGGAATTATAATCACTAGCTCTTATAAGAGCTGTTCCTGCTACGCTCTCTGGGAGTAGGAGATGTCTGCCCACTGGAAGCTGAATCCCGGTCTTGGTTCCAGGGTGGGTGAAGGAGAGCGAGACCCCAACCAAGCTGTGGTGGTTTGTGGGGTTTACGGTGGTTATGGTGTTTCAGTACAGTGCTTATGGTGCTCGCAAGTACTAGGAAGCAGTGATTGACAGAGGTACCCGGTCGGGGTGCCAGGCGGTCCGTCACAGTACTGAGTACACCTGTTAGTGCCATATAAATAAAATATACATACACTGTATACCTACTGCACTTACTGTACCTCCCCTTTCTGTAATGTAACCTGTAAAGTGCTGAGTACACCTGTTAGCGCTATATAAATAAAATATACATACACTGTATACCTACTGCACTTACTGTATCTCCCTCTACTGTAATGTAACCTGTAAAGTGCTGAGTATACCTGTTAGCGCTATATAAATAAAATATACATACACTGTATACCTACTGCACTTACTGTATCTCCCTCTACTGTAATGTAACCTATAAAGTGCTGAGTACACCTGTTAGCACTATATAAATAAAATATACATACACTGTATACCTACTGCACTCACTGTACCTCCCTCTACTGTAATGTAACCTGTAAAGTGCTGAGTACACCTGTTAGTGCTATATAAATAAAATATACATACACTGTATACCTACTGCACTCACTGTACCTCCCTCTACTGTAATGTAACCTGTAAAGTGCTGAGTACACCTGTTAGTGCTATATAAATAAAATATACATACACTGTAGACCTACTGCACTTACTGTACCTCCCTCTACTGTAATGTAACCTGTAAAGTGCTGAGTACACCTGTTAGTGCTATATAAATATAATATACATACACTGTATACCTACTGCACTTACTGTACCTTCTACTGTAATGTAACCTGTAAAGTGCAGAGTACACCAGTTAGAGCCCACTGCACCTACTGTCTAGTTATGGGTGGTTGCCCACTGTATTATGAGGCAGGTGTGGGTGGCGGGATGCCCCCTGTATTATGAGGCAGGTATGGGGCGGATGCCCCCAGGGCCGGACTGGCCCACCGGGATACCGGGAAATTTCCTGGTGGGCCGTCGGCACCTGGGGCCAGGAAGGCAGCTGGCTCACCTGCGGCTGCAGAGGAATCTCTTTTGGCGGCCGGAGGGGGAGCTGGCTGTTCTGTCTCTGTTTCTCCGCCCTCACACGCTAGAGAGAGACCGGGGCCGGAATATGACGTCATATTCCGGCCCCGGTCTCATTAAGCGGCGCGCTGGGGTGGGGGAGCAGAGACAGAACAACCAGTTCCCCCTGTGGCCGCCAAAAGAGCTCCCACATGCGGCCGCCATCAGAGCTCCCCATGCGGCCGCCGGCACACAGGTAGAAATTATGTTTGTCAGTGTGAGTGTATGTGTGTGTGTGTCTGTCTGTTTCATTGTGTGTGTGTCTCTGTCTGTCATGGTGTGTGTGTCATGGTGTGTGTGTCTGTCTGTGTCATTGTGTGTGTCTGTGTCATTGTGTGTGTGTGTGTGTCTGTGTCATTGTGTGTGTGTCTCTGTGTCATGGTGTGTGTGTCTGTCTGTGTCATGGTGTGTATCTGTGTCATGGTGTGTGTCTGTGTCATTGTGTGTGTGTGTCTCTGTCTGTCATGGTGTGTCTGTCTGTCTCTGTGTCATGATGTGTGTGTGTGTGTCTCTGTCTTTGTCATAGTGTGTGTGTCTGTCATGGTGTGTGTGTGTGTGTGTCTCTGTCATGGTGTGTGTGTCTCTCTGTCATGGTGTGTCTGTCTGTGTCATACAATGTGTGTCTGTGTCATTGTGTGTGTGTCTGTCATGTAATGTGTCTGTCTGTGTCATGGTGTGTGTGTGTCACAATCTCTCTGTGTCGTGGTGTAGGTGTCTGTGTGTCATGGTGTGTGTGTCTGTCTGTGTCATGTAATGTGTGTCTGTGTCACAGTGTGTGTGTGTTTGTGTCATGGTCTGTCTGTGTTATGGTGTGTGTGTGTGTGTCAAGGTGTGTGTGTCTTTTTTAAGGTGGGTGTCTGTCATGGTATGTTTGTGTCTCTGTCATGGTGTGTGTCTGTCTGTCATGGTGTGTGTGTGTTTCTGTCTGTGTCACGGTCTGTCTGTGTCATGGTGTGTGTCTGTTATGGTATGTGTGTTTTTACTCACCTTTTTTTTCCCCCACGTCGTGCTGGTCTCCCCTTGACTGGCCCTGCTGGTCTCCCCTCGACTGGCCCTGCCTCTATGGCTGAGATCATCAAGCTTGATGATCTCAGCCAATCCGCACTGACTCAGGATGCACCTCTAGTGACCGTCTGAGTGTGTCACTAGGAAGCAACGTAAACACTGTCTTTTCTCTAAAAAGTCAATGTTTACATTAAAAAAGCCTGCAGGGACAGGCTATAGACACCAGAGCCACTACATTAAGCTGTGTGTGTGCGCGTCTGCTAGTGAGTGAGCTTGCGTGTGTGTGTGTGTGTGTGTGCCTGCTACTGAGTGAGCTTGTGTTTTTATGTCAATGACCTTATCTATATCAGTGAGATTGTTTGTCTATGAGGCTGTGTATCAATCAGCTTGTGTTAGTGAGGTTGTCTGTGTCTGCATGTGAGTATGCTTACTGTATAATTAAACATTTTACTCTGAAAGGGCCAATATTTTATATTGGAAAAAGAGATTTTATATATATATATCTCAATCATCTAGGGTGGCAAGACATAGCCTTACATATTACATGCGACAATATATGGCGCAATGACTTATGGGGCTGGCATATATTTTTTTTTTTCAGGGCTGCTTTGGAATCCCCAGTCCGGCCCTGGATGCCCCTGTATTATGAGATAGGTATGGGGGGTATTACCCCCTGTATTATGAGGCAGGTATGGGGGGCAGGGTGCCCCCTGTATTATGAGGCAGTTATGGGGGGTGGGGGGAGGTGGGAATGCCCTCTGTATTATGACAGGCATTAACAGGCATTAGGGGGGCTTATTCTGAGTATTTAACCCCTAATCTGCTTTACATCGATTGTAGCCTAGGGAGGCTGACTGAAATTTTAGTTTTTCTTTTTTATATTGAAATCTTTCTATTATGGGGGGGGGGATAATGAAATTATAATTAGCGCCCCCTCCCGGCCATATCGCAGGAGGGCTCTTATCTCCTGTGCAAGAGCCGCCTGAAGCAGATAATTTATAGGATTTAATTAGCCTGCAGCTAGGAATAAAAGCTTTGAGTGGCTCTGTCAGTGTCCCAGGCAGGGTGTTTAATCACTGCTCCCCTTCCAACACCGACACCCCATCTCCACTAATGGCTTTATTGACGGCTGAATGTGGCTCATTCATTCCCTGCACCCAGGAAGAGGATGATAAATCCAGAAAAATGCAAACTACCTTAACCTTGTGTGTGCTGTGAGGCTGGCTGCTGGAAACAGACAGACAGAGACAAAGTGAGACATAGTGACAGACAGAGACATAGTGAGACAGACAGACAGAGACAAAGTGAGACCGACGTACTGACAGACAGACACAAAGTGAGACAGAGAGAGACAAACAGAGACAAAGTTAGACAGACAGACAGACAGTGACAAAGTGAGACAGGCATACTGAATAAAAGACAGTGTGGCGAAAGTAACCTCACCACTGGTACGTGGAGGGGCCTTCTTGCCAGCCTCTTGCCCCAGGATTATGGCCCGTGCATTAGACCTGGATTCAGGACTGTGGGAAGGCTTTGTTTGTGCCTTTTCCTTTTTACGATTCAGTATATGGGGCTACCGAATGGATTATGTTTATGGTGTTCGTTTACCGAACAGACAACCGAACAGTCGGACCACACGCAAGTGGAGTGTGCAGCCTATTTACGTCCCAGGCTGGTAGTTAACCACAGCCAAATTGACGAAGAGCTGGATGGTCACCAGTCGCATAGTCGAACACGTGGTGGCGGCCATCTTGTTTAGTCAAACGTGTTCAGCTGTGTTTTGTCATCAAGTTCATGGAACTCAAATCGGACACTCGACGGCACGAACACTGCTGGGCCTTCCACCACCAGTTAGGTTCGACTACAACTGCACGTACGGAAGTCTTGGCTCATGTTTGGGGGATTGGAGAACTACACTCTGGGGATTGCTATAATCACTATACTCCCCTGAGTATAATCACTAGCTCTTCTAAGAGCTGTTCCTGCTACGCTCTCTGG